TGACTTGAGTACCTGTCGTTGGTATTGGATAATCAATTATCGTTTGTATCTTTCCAGAATACGCTTGTATTCCATCTTTAGTCACAATGTATTCCAAGAAATGCAGCTGTTCTTTGAGGAAATAACGTTTCTCGGGATTGGGTTTTAGGGTTTTAGGGCAGCTAACTCTATGCAACCAAAGACTTATTTAAGATGGTACAGATGTTCTTGATAGTTGTTTGTGTACGTTGAGATCATCGATATAAACAACAAGATATTTGTTAACCAAGGGCCAAAAGCATAAGTCTATTAGACGCTAAAAAGCGTCTGAAAGATTCACAAGCCCCATAGGTAGCATATTGTAATGATTATGTGACACATATAATTATGATTGCTATCAGTTCTTTACTTTCTTCCTTCAATAGTACTTAATGAAACCCTGCTCGCATATCGAAAGCAGAAAATAACTTGACCTTTCCAAGAGTGCCTAATAGGCCGTCTACTCGAGGTAACGGATACGAGTCTTTCTTGGTAACTGCATCCAGCTTGCCATAACTAATGGTCATTTTATATTCCCTATTCTTCTTTTTAACAAGTATTGCATGTGCTGCCCATGGACTATTTGATGAGATAATGATCCCGAGTCTACAATATTTGTCCAGTTCTTTTTGTAGGTATTCAGCTTCTATAGGACCCATACGATACGGTCAATGGCTAATCGGCAGAGTATTTTTGTCTATAACCACTCTCTGTTGCGCCGAATATGTATGACACGTTGCGTCGGTAATCCTTGAGTAGTAATTTGAGTCCTTTTAATATGTATTCGGCAGATTGGATACTTCTAAATTTCGAATAATTTTTCTGCTTGTAGTGTTTGTTCATCATCGCCATCTATTTGTTCAATGGCCTATTTTCCAGTTTCCATGTAGTATATTTCTGGTTGAGACTGTAAGCTATATGCAGATACAATAGTATCTTTGTTTAGATTGAACTTTTCTAACACTACTATTACTTCGTTCGGGTTGAAGTATATTTCAACATTCGTACGATTGAAAAATCGAATGTCTATCGCTCGCTTGTCGACTGTAGATATACAATGAAGTTATAATTGCTTCAAGGGACTTATATTTACTTGAGATAATCAGAGGTTTACTTTAGGCACAAAATAAGATTTAATGATGAAAACAAAGTAAAGCGAACAAAGAGGATAACCAGAGGTTATTTATACTAATTCTTGATGCTATGATTCGATTTTCATTTGATGAGTTCAAGTTCGTTTCCTGAATTGGCTTCTATTTGATGCATTTTTATTTTTAGTGCTCTATGTAACAAAAGATATATGATCCTTTTCTTTACAATGTAATTTTTTGGGAATCGTATGGGTTACTGATTATTCAAACGGTTTTATTGAGCTTTTATGAGATTGAGTATTTGAAGTGGCCACCAGACTTTGTACGTAAGATCAAATATAAGAAAAAGGAAAGAGATGAAGAATTTTTATCACAAAAAGCTGCCTGTTTTAACTTAATGACCTTGGCGAGTTTAAAGTAAAAGGAATAGAGTAAAGTAATAAATGAGTATAATATGTCATGTTAGTGACCACCAGATCCTGATTATAAAAGGCTAAAAATAATAAGGATGAATTGAAAAATAAATTTAAGAAAAATGAAAAAGATGTCTTTATAAGAGAAGGTTTTGTAGATAACTGAGGTGAGAATAATACTGCAGGTTGATTAATTTGACTAAACTGAATATTCTTTATTTCAAAATTATTGGGATATTGATATTAAATAAGGAGATAAGTAGTCGCACAGTCTATTGTACTGTGTGGGGAACAATGGTTTTAAACACTGTCTTATAGGCAGTATTTATGGAAGGTGCCATTAGGAGCGTCCTCCTGAACCATCTTCATAACAACAACGTTACTGTTACTGGCGTTTAGCAAGGGGAAAAGTGTTAGTAGTAAGGTTAAAAATAAGTTTTACAAATAGATTGTGATATTATAGTGACCACCAGATCTTAATATAAGATCAATATTGTTGTGCTATCACAACATTATCAGTAAATATTTGTAGTAATCGTTACTCAGTTAGGAGTTCTTCCATATATGACCTATCATATATGAACTTGCTCTTAGGGCACCGTTACAATATCCATATGAAACGTCTGTGCTCTGACTTCTAGGACAACGGTTCCTTATTCCACAAGACATTGTCAGATCATGTATCACCTCATCCACAAGGCACCTCGAACATACATCGAACCAATAGTTAACACTAGCTAGGTTCTTCCCAGTTATTCCCATTGTAGCTGGGCGCTTATAGGTACGCTCTCGATATCCAATTATCATTATTGATTGTAGATGTTAAAAAGTATAAATACCATTGTCTTATTCATCGTAAATAACGATATCATATATTTCTGTCTCACTGACTTATTGTCCTTTTTCTATTCTCTTCTCATCTTATTAGTTTTTGTCTCTTACCTTTGTACTTGGCAAAACAAATATAGAGCAATATGATGCTAAGTCTTGTGAGATAAAGTAAAAAGTAAAATAAAAAGGTTATTAAGTAATTGGTGCTTAAGATACAAGATAAACTAGAAGTTATTGTGATCTGAAGATAAGATGATTCTTAGATGATTCTACGATGTTGTTTATTTCATGAATAATTTGGGGATATTTATACTGTTTAAATATGCAATATAATATATATAATAAATGATAAATGATATATGATATATGATAAATCATAAATCATTAAAACTTGCATTGGACATGCAGAGTATAAGATACCAAAAAGGGTATCAGTAAATCAAAAGCAAAAAGTCACGTGACCTCCTATAAAAAATAAAAAGAGGCTATCGTCGTTCCGTTGGAACTGCTGATGATATTATATCAAGAAATGCTCGTTGGCTGGATTGAACAACCGACCTTCTGTTTACAAGACAGACGCACTACCACTGTGCTAAACGAGCTGACATTTTTTGTTGAAAAGTAAAATTAATATATTAAAATAAATTTATTTGTTACATAACAGAAAAGCTTGCTATCTATAATCATCTGAACATTCATCCTATGCATCCATCTAAGAAATGCACTATATTTAAATTTCCTGTAATTTTTGCAAGCGTCCAAAAAGATATCCACTGTAGAAGCAAAGTGTATCCAGATGTTAATCAAGAAGAAAAAGCTAAATTTGTGGTACCCCCTTGTAATTCAGGTTCCGAAGTGACTTGTATTCACGAAAAGTACAGGATGTCACAGTAATGTGAAAGAGGTTGTAGTATCCACGCTACTATTCAGTGCTTAAATACAATATCTAGAGTTGAACCTAATGCTGCTATAAGATCTGTTACACCTTAATCAAATATAGCCAACTCAGTTTAAATACCTCAGCTTCTTAATATATAATTATAGATTGTGCTATCATCTCTTTTCTCTTTACTTTATTCTGAATAAAGATACAACACAGTCTCATCGTATTTTCTACTTTGTTCAAACCTATCCAAATCCAAATACAACAGAGGTAACAGAAGTAAGAGACAATAGGATACAGCAAGACTGTTGTATTCAGCTTTAGTGTTATTGAAAAAAGGCTATTAAGTCGATGACTTGCGAATTAGATTCTTTATTAAGAAGAGCTGAATATTATTATATTAAGTTTGTGTGAGAGTTTACTTGGGTAGAGAATCTATGACTGCTATTTATATTATTGTCGTCACTGGCATTATTTATGCTTATATTAATATTGTTATACTAGTAGCTACTATAGTTGTTATTATAAGTTATTCTTATCAGATGCGATAGAGGAATGTAAAGTAGAATGCATGCTCTACTGTAAGATTATACTCGAGTTATTATAATGATTATCTCATCAAACACGCCAAAGACTGAACTAATTCTTTTATTAATAAAGAGTGATTCTTGTTTGTAATAAGTTGTATTGTTCAGCAGAGGAAGGAAGAGAGGAATAGAGCCGGACAGGAATTAAGATGCTGGATAGTACAACTATTGGAAGGACAAAAGAGGATGATGTTAAAGGCTCGCAAGATGATCTAGAGATAAGAACGAGACAAGAGACAGACAAGAAAGGATAAGAATAGACTAGGAAGACCAAAGGACAGAAGTTATACTGTGATAATTGACTGAAGTTTTATGTATTACAGAAGAGGAGTATTTATACTATTTGAATACTCTATAAGTCAATATCAGTGCTAAATACAACACTTACCCCTTTACATTCCTTCAAAGAGCTTATCATAATTTGTACAGTACCTGTCCAAATTACATTGTATATAAAAGGGCCTGTAGACAGAGTGACATCACACTAGTAAGCTGTGCTACAATGTTGTGTATATTGCTACCTGTATTAATAGTATATATTTTTCTTCGCTTCTTATTTACAAAAATAAAAAGATATACTTGGAAGTAGTTGTTTAATCATAGTCCATTTCGAATCGACTATTCAATCAATTCTCCAGCAAGTCCATTAATGAGTTTATGGCTGTGTTTGCAATCTAAGGGCTTCATTATTAATTTTGAGTTATGACATTAATTATACTATGCAAGTCTACTCTGGGATTATAATTGACGTGCATTTAGTAGTTGCTCTGGGGTAAAATAGCTTAATTAATGGTTTCCTAGTTTTACTACTGTAACATCTGAATCAAGAGATGATGTACTAGTTTCTGTTATTGTAAAAGTAACCGCCTTAGTTTCAATAAGTGTGAATTATGTCCAGATACAGCAAATAGCCCATCAGGTGATAAATAATCACACTAACAATATTAAGTTTCCTTTATAAAACTCTCATGCTTCTTATTTTAATAGTTCTCCTCTTTTCATAAATGAGGCATTAGTTGTAGTTTGTTGTTATTATTGTTGTTAGTTCTCAAAAGGCGTGTAAGAATAAAAGCAAAGAAGTGGTGGGTTTCTGTTTTACCCTTTAATTAGAAGTGAGAGAGTAAGAACCCATAGCAAAAAGAAATTAGGTGCTTTTGATCCCACACGTACAGATTAGTATTAGACATGGTCAAATACGACAATAACCACCAACTATGATAGACATACATATTATTTACATTTATTTTGTTTACTCTGTATGTACAACTACGGGAGCATCGTCATCATCATCATCTTCTTCGTCTGGAACGCTCCAATCAAATTTCTTTATAATAAACTTTCTTAACTTTGAATATCTATCTATTAGCTTTGGTTGTGAAGAAGGAACGTTTTGCTGGAAAGACTATAAAATAAAGAATCATATTAGCTCTTGTATTATTATTATTATTATTTTTAAAAAAAGCCTACTTTTAACATGACACTTGTAAAGTTGTTTTCTGATAAAATATCACGAAAAAAGTCTTCAGGGCATTCATCAAGCTGAAATTGAAGAACATCTATCAATATTAAGCTCTTAGTATATAAAAAGTATACTATGTAAATCGAGCTATACCCATAAAATCAATAAATAAGTCGGGGTTGTCTTCCATCAATTGCTGACATGAGCAGAGAAGTTGTACAAGTTGCTTCCATTGATTAAACCCAGAAAAGCTCTGTGCCATCAAAAGGCAAACAAATGCAAGTTGCAATTCACCCAGCATGATTCTATAATCTTATACAAGTCAATGCCTTTTCTCTGCGTATTCTTGTTTTTTTTTTTTTTTTTGTCATTATTATTTTACCATTGTGATATACTCTTTTCAGTAAATCCTTCACAAGCCATGATTTATCTAAGCTCCAGCGCGTTATTTCATCGCCTGACGCGCCCTTTGGAAATGATTTTCTCAAATCAAATGGAGTAAATTCCATGCCTTCTTCCTTTTCAATTTGTCTACCAAGTCTTTTATCTTTTACGTTACTTTCGTCTATAGTTAGATTTGCATTTTTCTCGGGCAAATGGCTCACTTTGCCATTATTGGGGAGCACGCGTCGAACAAGCCCAGGTGTAATAAAGTTGGTCAACTTCTTCCAACGTTCATAGTATAGAGGAGGATCAAGCGGATAAGGTCCCATATTGCGATCAAATTCTCTGATATCTTTTTTACACGTCAGTGCATCATTTTTTTTTTTTTTTTTTTTTTACTTATGCGATATCTCTCAGCCTGTGCTGGATCTATTTCTGTCTCATCACGCAAGTCTTCAGTCTGTGGATTCCATACTCGAACAAGTATCTAAAATAAGAAATATTGTAAGAAAAATATCATAAGTCAGCTAATTGCTTTACTTCTTTTGATTCAAAAAAATGAAAAAAGCCAGTTCTGATTCCTTGAACTCCTTCTTTACTGGTAGATCTACAATAATATATCTTGTTAATGATTTAAATGTGTGGTTTTGTTTTAGATCTTTTTACGAAAAGTAAATAAAATGTAGTCCAGGCGGAATCATCTTGACTCCTTTAAATAAAGGACCAATAGTCCAAGCATTGTAATCAATTCCGAATTCGAGATTAGGTGGCGCATCAAGAAAGAGTATAAAAGCTCCAATTTCAAATAATTTGTTGGCAAGTTCTTGATCCATATTTACAAGTGAAAGAAAAAAGAGAGCATAAAAGACAAAACTCAGTCATGTCTTAGGGAAAAAAAAAAAGAGGGTAAATTATACAATAGAAAGAGAAGTTTATTTACATATATTTATCAAGATAAACACCAGGTTTATGTTTTTTAAATAAGAGATTGTTTTGAAGATGGCGTGTAGTCATGCTGTATAATAAAATTGGCTGCCTGATTCTCACATCCTTGTTGGATAATGCTGTCGTACGTCTCTGACGTATTTATGTTGGGTGAGGGAATAGTGGACGCTTTTGAGGATGAAGAGGAAGAAAGTGTTTCATGATCAAGGACCGGCATTGATTCAAACTCTAAAGGAGAAAGTACGACCCCTCTTCTACGGGAAATGGATAAGTTTGACCGTTTAAACGATCTTGGCTTGACGTTGGATGGACATGGTAAAGAATGATATTGTCGAAGTTTTGTTAATCGTGTATTGATGACTTGAAGCCATACATCAAGCTCATATTCTGAGTGGCATTCCATAGTCCAAGTCTTTTGACGCTTTGTATGTCGTTGTTGGTAATTTGTAGTAGTCTCAAGTTTAAAGCAGTAATTGTGATTGAATGTGCTCGTCTTGACCACTCTTGACACTTCATGTAGGCTGATTGCACAAGAAGGATCCACAGAATGCTCGTGCTTGTAATATCTTAATTCTGTATCAAGCAAAACAAAGTACCTTGACTGCCATTTAGAAGAACCAAGCTTATTTGTGGTGGATAGCTTGAATAACCAGCCAGAGAGGGTATGATCCATCATGAGATTAAGAAAGTAAAAGAAAAGGAGACCTTTATATCCCTTTTATTTATCAACAATATCGGCAGTCTGGGTACCTTTCTCTTAATTTAATTAATTTTTGGTAATTATAGTATGCCGAAGGATCTTAATAACAAACTTGCTTTATTTGAAAGCTTGGTAACTGTTAATTAAATGACCGACTAAAATGAGTTCTAGGTCAATAAAGTATGAAATGTCCTGTTATAGGGAGGGAGGATAAGCAATGCTCTATTCTTATGGGTGAGCAAAGGTTAATATATTGAATAACAAACGTGTTTTTAAGTCTATAGAGTTTTATTTTAGGAAGAAATGTGCCTCATTGCTTCTGCGCATGATCAAAAAGATAGGCAATACAAATTTACCAAATTAGTGATTTTCAACATTAGGCAAATAGGCTTAAGCGCATTGTCAAAACTCTTTTATTTATGTGCATGCGCCTAGATTATGCTTATTTTATACATCATAAACGTAAACAATTGATCACTTTTGAAAGAGCTTACTCCAATCTTTTATTAATCTACTAAATTCCGTTGGATAGCACTACTCAGTGCAAAACAGATGTAACGAGGCTCAGCATAAATACCTAGTTTTAAGCAGGTAAAAATGATCAAATCCACTGACGTTGATTATCAAGTAATTGATAAGAATCAACAATAGGGTAACTATCAAAATGGCAAAGATAAAAACAATAAACAATAGGAAAGGACTATTTGTTAAGCTTGTGACATAGAGTATGTACGTGTGAAGCTAATCAATTGGCGTGCATGGTTCTTGTAAAACTGAGTGCACAGGGGAGCAATTTTTTTCAAATGCTCCTATTGTTACAGACCTCATTATTGACACAGTCTAGACCATTTCCTTTTTGGTAATATTACTCAAATTATTCTCAATGTCACTGATGCTTAATGCCAAGCTACTTGAAGAAAACACCTAAGCATGACTAGATTAGTGAGATCATGTTTAAATAATGGTACTATTTGTATTCTTTCTATTCAAATAACTTACTTTTAGCTACATGTAGCGAATACTATAAGGCTGCTCTGTGACGTGTTGTCAACATTTTGTGACACGTAATGGTGTACCTGTTTAGAGCAGTCGTCTGGAGTTTATTGCGAACCTTCCAGAGCTTCATTTGTCATTTGAGAAAGGATAACTCTAAGCTTGATGGTTAAAGTATAGTTATGTTGTTACTTTAACTATCTTTGATTTTTTATACAGATACTAATTCTTGTAAACGAGCTTGGTAAAAGACTTTAGCGTATTATTGATAAATGGCGTATCTGCATTTTTGTGCTTGCTATTTTGAGTGATTTTAGAGGTAAAAATGACTTGAGCTTTCATTATTAGCGCATGACAAAAGAGATAAAGATGATAGGCACATTGTCCTCTCTCAACTACTTATATCAACATTTGTTAATGGCTGTTTGCGAAATACAAGAACAAGGAACATCATATGTTCATATAAAAGGATTAAATCTTTTATTATTATTATAATATCAGTAGTGTAAAAGGGCTAAACAAAGGACACTTACGACAAACTACATTACGCAATGCTATAACAAACACTACGGTTTGTCTCTATTCGTTCTATAGTATCTCTCTGAGCTTGTGTTTCTTGACTATCCATCTCCTTATTCTCCAGTGGTCTTTTGTCACTATCTCTGCTGTCCTCATTGCTTTTCTTATCTTTTATCGATTCTTCCAATAACTCTGGCATATGTTTTTCTTCAAAGTGAATTCTCCATTTTGTTCCAAAAAAGTAGCAAGTTAGTACAAATCCTGCGTTCAATAGATTGATAGCTGCTAGAATACTAAATAGAACACCCGTGCCAAGAGCATGTACAACTGAAGATGAGAATATAGAAGTAATAGCTGCACCTATGCAACGAACAAAACTATTAACACCAACGGCCGTTGCAGAATATCCTAATTAAGTAAAGATACGTTGAATAAAAAAATAGCAAGTAAAACAAACACGTCTAACCTGGTTTAGAATCTACAAGATATACTGACGTTGGAGTGAAAGCCCACATTTGCCCTAAAGCATCTAGAAAAAAAGTATGTATTAGCTACAATTTGCCCACGTATGACTTATAGCCCACTTACAGACAAATAATCCTATAAGAGGTGCATAAACACCTATTTTCTTTTCAGTTGTCCAGCCATAGATCAAGTACCCTATAGGAATGAATATAAAAGAGGGAATGGCAGCCTGCAGTCGCATCTCAGATACGACCTTGCGTCCTCCCGATTTTTTTGATAGCTTTGCAAGGACATAATCAGAATGTCTGCCACTAAGGACAGATCCGATCATGAAGCCTCCCCCAAGAGAGAGATAACAAAGTCCAACTTTCCATTCGCTATACCCATAGATAGTCTTGAAGGTGTCTGTGATGGTTGGATTCTACAATTCGGCATAATAAACAGAGTAAATAAACAGTAAATATGTAAAAAAAAAAGAATGATTGCTTGCCAAGAAATATAATGATGCAAAAATAACGGTATTATAAGCTGTTAAGAGATTGACTGTTGGATCATAAAGCATGATTAGCATAGGTTTGAAGCTAATTGCTAGTGTCGCAAAAAAAGTTGGTTTAGCATGTTTTTCTATAATGCCTTGCTTTCCTCGGTCATTTTGAACTTTAAATTCTTCAATGAGTTCTTGATCTGTTAATATATCGGGCCTTTGCTTCCTTAGTGTCTCTGGTAAAAATGCAGTCGTAAGTAGCAATAAAACACCTGCTAGAATTGCAGTAAAATAAAAGGTTGACCTCCAGCCCAAATATTGACAAAGGAAACCTGCAGCACATTCATTTAGCGTTATGATGAAATAGCAGCGTCAAGTTCTTACCTCCTATGGTAGGGCCTATAATGGAAACAAGAATTTAGAGTGAATATGATAATACACTTAATGTCATCTACCTATAACAGGGCCAACAAGTGGTCCTGTATAGAATATTCCATACGCTGATCCTCTTGATTCCACAGCAATGGTATCTGCAATAACTCCGGCACCTATGCATATTTATTTTAGAAACAAGGGATTGATTGATGCATTGAACTCTACCCAAGGTTAGTCCAGCATTTGCACCAAAAGATTGCAAGCCGCGGAACACAATCAGCATGGCAATGTTTTTACATATTGCGCAAATGATACAACTAACAACATTGATAACACCACTGATTATGTACATTCTTTTCCTTCCATATTGGTCGCTCAAGGCTGCCCAAAATAACGGCTGTTGACGTTATTTTAGTAAAAAATGAGATGATTGATGTATACTCGACTTACAGAGATTCCCATAAAGACTACAAAAGCAGAGACAGTACCATTGACTGCAGATACTGTCGTTTGTAAATCTTCAGCGACGGTTAATAAAGCAGGCATATACATCATTGAACTCAGCGGTCCACATAGACCACCAAGAGCAACGAGGAGAATGATGACATTTTTTCTTTTTTCCGAGTAATTATTGGGATCATCACTTGCATATATATCTCCAAAAATGTATTTAAACCAATGTGATTTGTAGCCATCGTCTACTTCGTGAACAGTGTTTGATTGGCTTACAGGTATAGATATAGAGTCAAGGTTATTTTCGCATTGATCTGGGGCATTGACAGGAGCACCTTGGTCGTGATTCATTTGAGATGTCATCCCCCTTTCTAAAGTATTAAGAAACTAAAGAAGTAAAAAAAAAGAAATAAAGAAGAATAAATCAGATCAAAGAAAAGGATGAGTTTTGCTTTGTTCTTTTGCTTGAGCGGGACTGTAATGTTTGTATATTTACCGTGTCATCTCGTACATTTTCCTGCTCCTTCCCAACAAATGATCGCCGATTTTTCGGTGTAATATAAATTTGCAAGTTACATGACTTTTGAGTGCTGTACGATATAAAGTGTTCGTTTGTTACCATTTTATCTGATGTTCATTTATTATACTGGCATCTCTTTTGATTTAAAAGATGATTTTCTGATTCCAACTGATGGGTAAACATTGTTCCATATAGTTCCGAATAAGAAAAATAGAGGTGTGTACCTTCCATTCTTTTAGCCAACCGGAATATTTTAATTTCAAACTTGTGTGTATCCGTTTGTTTTTGCCTATATGTGTGTATGATTTTATCAAATTGAAGGTTACTTTCTAAATGAAGCCAAGCTTAGAGGCCTTAGAAAAAGTTCCAAAAGTCAATGAATCTAAAATACAGTGATTAGGAGTCATACTTATCCCAATCGCCGTTGCCTCCGTTCCAGATTCCGATGAGATGGTAGCGTTTTCCGTAGTAGAAAAAATAATGCTGCTGATCATTTGGCTTTCTTGAAATTTGTTCAGAGGCTTATAATAGTATTTCTCGAAGGTGTCCGACTTGCTTGACCAATTTGCATGTTTCTTTACTTGTTCAATCTTATGACCATGTATTACTACCCACGTACTTGCTGCTGCTCTTAATGAACGTGCTTTGTATACATTAGTGTCAATTCCAGCTTCTTGCATTGTTTGTTGTATCCATAAGGCGGCGGTTGCTGGTCTGATGGAGTGTGTATGATTGCCCTTCTCAATCTCTGCTAGGAATAATGTATGATCGTCTGGTAAGCCATGGCGTAGACTTGCTGTACGATATATAAATTCTGCTAAGGTTCTCACAGGACAATCATCTCCTTTTGCTTGTTCTGTTGTTCCAATCTTTATTGTCTTCCATTGGCTTTCCTTTGGTTCTCTTGATGTTAAGAATACCCCAGGTAGTTGTCCATCTTCCGACCAGGAAGAAGCTACATCTCTATACTGTAGTCTACCAAGGTCCGAGCGAGGCCGTATCTACTCATTTCGACGAGTGATATGTCCGCTCTCCTGCAGAATATCACGCTTTGTGAGCGCTCTTCCAACGCCAAGTTGAACTATTCGAAGACTCAAGCGTTCTCTCTCTCTGGTGCTCTCTCGACAACGTGGACTAACATCCTATAGCAACTTCTCACACCAATTACATCCTAGCACAACTGGACGTCGCCACAATCATTGGTTTACTTAGGTTATCCCGTTTACACCAATGTAGCTCAGCGTAATTCACTCGTCGATCAGCTATTGCTTAAAGTTCAAGCAGCCTGCACCTTGCACTCCCAGCGATCATTGTCAATCCGCAGCCGCGTGACAGCGCTGAACACACTGCTGTTTTCCAAACTCTGGCATGTCCTGCATGTCTTGCCATTGCCTTCTGCACAGTTATAACGGTTCCGAGGAGTCGCCAGTGCCTTTCTCAATGGCTATGACTTTCCAAAGATCAGTTTTGCGACTCTGTCTCTTCCAAGGAAACATGGTAGTGTAGAGCATTGGATTCTCACATCCAACAAATGATGTTACAGTGGCGTTGATTACTTCCGCTTCTTGCCAACAGATCTCATACCACGCAACCTTACATTGCCCCCTTTGTCTTGAGCGTATCCTTGCTGGCATCAGCGGCTATCCTAGCAGCCATCTCTGGCCGGTGCTGTTCCCTTCTCTTAAGTCTCGCCTTCTCCAACTCGTGAATAGCCCATTCAGGCTGCTTTTCCAAGCTTTCGATGAACTATTACCATGGTCTATTTCGGAGCACCTGAATGTAAAGACCTTCTTGGATATACCTGTCCATTGTGCCTTAATAAGTCCCTCTGAAAGCCCTCCCTAATGCTATACGCCCAATATTCTGCAAACACTGTCTCCTGCTAACCCACGGTTATGCAAGCTTTTGATCAGTGATATTATCGTCCATGACCCCCAAAACGCTAACCTTCATCTGCGAGCAGCTAACAAATACCCTTGATTTCGACGACTTTGTCGTAAAACTATCGCTTTACTTTTCCAAGGGTAATTTCTACTGTCTCCTGTTTTCCTGCCTCTGTGTATCCTCGGGACCACTTCTACACCTGATCTGGATGCATCCACTATAGATTTGATACCTCTTTGTCGGCCTAGTGTTTCTAGATTGAGTGATTTTGACCCTCTTATCCGTTATCAGCCTTACCGTAAGTATTTACTGTCACAACGAAGCTTGGAACGGAAACAATACAAACATACTGTGTCTTCTTCATCGTGGACGTCTTTTTGGAGACTGCTGTTCCTTCTAGCAGCGTGAAGTACATGATATCGTTTGCTGCATCGAACGATCCTCTGCAAACAACGCCTACATGCCCTTATTCCGAATCAACACTCTTCCGCATCGTGTTCATTCTGTGGTTCCGCTGATGAAACTATGTCTCATTTTTTCTTCAGTTGCTTTCACAAAGCCGCGCTGTGGGCAATGATTCTCCATAAGTTATTTCCTGGGATATCCTGCTCGCTTCCTTAAATTGAGCAGTCAATGCTAACCATTGCAGTATCTCATACCAGCAGCAGTTGTGATATTTTCAGCTCAGTTATCTCGAGCATCTCGCTTTTACCGCCGTTCGGCTACACTCTTCAAATCATATGGCAATCCCACTGGCAGAAGGTATTCTACGATACACATTTTACATATCAAAAGATGTTTGTTTCTCTTGGACAAATGGTATTCCGCTTACACCATGAAAACAGCTACACTTTTGACTAAGGAGCTTTAGTTCTCCCTAATCACTACTTATCATTTGCATAGTTCAAAAAAAAAAAACCTTCGTTTTAGCATCAGTCTTACTTCCTTTATACAATTGTATTGATTAAATAAAATCCGAATTACTGGATCACCAGTGCTCCCTTATACAGAAAAAAATATATGTTTTACACATTTTAATGTAAGCGTTTGTATAAAATAAAGGTATAAGTAATAGTCTACACAAAAAAACACATTTTTATTCTAAAAGATCTGTATTCCCAAACTGATCTTGGATACTCTCCTTTTCATCAATTGGATCGAAAAAGCTGTTTTCTCGTCGCAGCTTCTTCAAAATGTTCTTTTGGAGGTCATATTCATTCTGAAAAACAGAATAAAATATATAAATAAAAATAGTAATGTTTTTATAATTAAAGATATTTGCCTGAAAAGTGACTAGTAATTCAAACACTGGCATTATACCCGTTCTTGAGTCCCAAGTGACAGGAATAATCGCACCTCTTAATTCAACAATTTGCCATTTAGTTGGACTACAAAGACTGGACTTTATCAAAGTGATCTTGTCACAGATACATTGTATTCCAAAGGCTGCTAAACCTTTGGCGGTTTCAACTGCAGCGCCTTGATACTTCGGTATCTCCTTTCTTAAAGAATTGGTTTTTATGGCTATTAACTTCCAAGTATCTTCCATAGAATGATTAATACTTCAGTAAAAAATGATCCTGAAGATTTCATTACTATCACTTCAAAACCATCTTTACGGCTAACACCGTTAACAAAGAGCCTTTCAGTTGTGTTATTCCAAACACCAGGTATCATTTGGCTTTTGCTGTGAGACAACATCATTGATTCGCACCTTATGCGTAATATTAACAGTGTCAGTATATTGCAAACATATTCCAATTAACAAACTAATCACTAACTATTACGAATCCTACGTCAATTGATGAATGATGATGTCGAGCTTCAAAATTTTCTTCAGAAAGTATGGAGTTTTCAAACTGAAGCATTTACGTGAATTCCTTTGGAGAACGAGTTATTTTCGGTTATTGCAATCATATTAACTGATTTCTGGGGCTTGTTTCATAGACTTAACTTCAACAAAAACCATGAAAGAGTCTTCTAGGCAAAGTATTTTATACCCTTATTTAAATATTTCTCTATTATAAATAAGGGGTTTACCTTTAGCTACGATTACTGTTCAAGACTTCCCACAGAAAAGGTAGCATTAAAATCAACGGCATATTAGAAATAGCAATGAAGCAACTGTTTTGAACGTTTTCAATATGTATCGTTGATAGTTTTGGCTGATTGGGAGAATGATTGATAAGCCTTGCAGATCTCATTAAATTAACATCACCAGTTTCGGCAGCGTCCTGTATATTTCATCAATATTGAATACACTAACATAAAGTGTCTTTTACATATACATGGCTTTATAACTTTGCCTTATTTGTTAATTGGTTTTGATTAGCACTGTCTTTATGATGCTCTAGAACATAATTTTAGTTCGTATTTGGAAGAATTGTTAATATCAGCACTAAGTTTTGCCATTGTCCATTTCTCTCAAGGTGGGCTCTTTCAAAACGTCAAGCGTCTTGTCTGTAACACCAGAAGCAGAATCCATAGCCTTAGAAGATAAAATACGCGACTTTTCCTTTTCCTCGGAAAACTTTGAGCTGAGTGAGTATCTATGGCAATTTGCTGCGTATATAAACAACTGGTCAGGCACGTTATTTGAGTTTCCAATATTTTCCAAACTAGCTCTTGTATGATCCAGAGCTTGTTCAGGTCCAGCTTTTGAAATGTTTTCGACCTGAATCGAATTAATCAATTTTCTTGGACTTGTCCAAGCAGAAACAGGTGCATTTAGATACTCTTTGGATAATCCTTTAGCATTTACTTGATCTATATTGATATAAAAGATTCTTTTCCCAGAAGCTGGTTTATTGAAATTTGTTGGACTTGTAGATTTAGCACGGGAATTTTCTCTTTGAGACTTAGACTTTGGCATCTTCAGTGATAGGTAATTAGAAAACTAATCTAAAATTGGCAAACACTTGGTGCACTCAAAAATGCACTCAAAGATAAACCAATACTACGGGCTCTACCTCTATCCACTACCTATGATGTCGCCCAACAAAGCTTTTCAATGTGTAGCGTCAAGCTAAACATGAGTTTATGAAATTGCCATCTTGAATTGTCTCTTTTCAAGAAGAAAGAGATGAAAAAGATATGTTGTCATTTCTTTATTTTAGTTTTATATTGTCAGTCTATCAACAAAGATGCAAGAACACGTGTAATTCAGTATGTCTAAAGCATAGCGCTTTTCATCCCAGGGCACATTTTACTATTAAAGAAAACATGATTAATTAATAAAAATGTTTTCAATCATTAATTTAACATGACAAGGTTAACCATAGTTACTTTTCCTTTTTTTCTTTTTTCTTTACTTCAACATGAAGCGAAAGAAAGATGATGACCCTCCGCCTCCAAAGGCAAAGCGAAACAAAGGGAAAGGCATGTAAGCTATAAGGTTGATATGGCATTTATTAAGAGTCAATTAGCCGCTGATCGCGAGTTCCCTTCTTTGTTTGCACAAACACAAACAACAATGCAACTTTTGAAGTAAGTGATGATGATTTTCAAGAAGCTCCATTACTTAGAAAAGGTAAAGGTAGCATCTATTAATTTCCTTCTGTTTTATTACTGGATGCTGTAATAGCCAAGAACACTCGTACTGCTTTGAAAGCTGCTAAAGAAGACACATCTGCTCCTGGTCCTTCAAATATTGCTACTAGTGACAAGACGCCTATGCCTATAGTCAACAAAGATACGAATGTTCAAGTTGTATTACATGCTCCTATTCCTTCCATTAGCTATACTTCTGCTTCCACCATAGCCTCTAAGAAATATCAAGACACGATTGATAAGGCTGAAACACTTAAAAAGGAGAAAAAAAAAAGAATAAGACGTTAAATAATGAGCAAAAACTAGTTCGATGCCTTTCTTGTGGTGCAACCGATCACTCTCGCTCCTCCAGCAAGCTGTGTCCTATGAATAAGTCAAAAACAAAACTTACAAAGCTCAAGAATATTGTCGAGAAAACTTTTATAATCAAGACATCTTTGGCTAATACCTGCAGGTATCCCACGTTCGTTACCTTGATCGAGGGAATAATTGACTACATTACTAACTGATATACGCTGAACCCATTTTTGCCAACTATTATTTCTTGGAACTTCTCGAGAATGGTGAAGAATTACCTGTGGTTACTCAGAATTTGTTCTATAACATATTTTCTATCTTTACTAGCCAAGGAAAGCATGCCTCTGATAGTATCAAGAAGAGCTTCAAGACCTTTTGTGAATCTACTTCTCTTACTCAACCTGACTTGGATAAGTATACAAGTAAAGGGTATATGACCAGTATATCTTCTATGACTAAGCAATATGAAACACTGGTCCGCAACTACGTTTGCTCTACTTATGAAGATCGAACTCACAGAAATATTCTTAATGTCTTATCAGAAAAGACCTCTCCTTACTTCTGTGGTGATAGTTTAACAGTCAAACAGCGCAAGTCTTTAGCAAAGCATATCTTTTACAAAAGATAAACTCCGAGCCTGCCTGGCCATCCACTGTAGACCGAATTGAACAATATGAAACTATTGTCAATAGCTTTCTTACTTCCTGGTCAATGTGCAATGCTTCCAATGATGCTGACGTATCAAATGAAGCTAATATGTATTCCAAACCTCAACGCTATATGAAATGGTTACATTTTATACAGAAAGAAATGAAACAAAAGAAGTTCATTCAAGAAATGAAACCTCAAGACAAAGCATCAAGCAGTTATGTCCATCGAAAGTTATAAGAACTTCCTTTTGTCAAGAAGCTGAACACAAGCAAGTACAAATCATTGAAAAAAAAAAAAAAACAACAACAACAACAACAACTTGATCGCCATCAATTCCAACAAGACTTTGGAACAACAAGCAAGCTTAAAAATATTGATAAAAAAGATATTGATGCTGTCCAAAACTTTATCAAAACAGTACAAGCGAGAATTCAAGACAAGATCTTCATGCCTCTCAAATACACTGATCCTCGAAGATCAAGATACTTTTCTTTACTTTCTTTGTACAAGATTGATGCTTAAGCTTTTTGGAGACTTGCCAAACAATGCGACAACAACGTCAAGCCAGGTCAAAAGAATGATAATGACTTAACTTTGTGGTACTTTAATGTGCCTGATTTTTCAAAAATAGGCTACAAGGCATTTGAAAGCTTGAACTCATGTCCAAAGGAGTTTGCATACGCTTACTTGTATGGTTTTTCTTCGGGGCTAAACAAATGCTGTCATTTTAGAAATGTGATCACTACTGATGGTTATGCTGTATCCTTCATGTTTAAGAAAACTGTCTCGATCCAAGATGAACTCAGAAGAGAACCAAAGATACCCAAGGATTTTGCTGAAATATACTAGTGAATTACCTACTTTAAAAACTGAAAACCTGACTTCATTTTTACTAGCTGCCTCTACGCTACAAAACTATCAAAGAATTCATAACCATTACTACCAAGATAAATGGTATGTCGCTCTTTTACATGGTGTATATTTTAATAGCGCTGTGTATGACATAGGTCTCAAAAGTTAAAGTTCAAGGCGTATATCAACAAGCAAGAGTGAGCTCAAGAAATTGTTAGAAGACTCTTTGACAGCAGTAAAAAAGCATGGCACATCAAGCACAGTTGGCGCTAAACACCAAAACCTAAATAAAAGCAAACATGTACCTTTACCTCCTGCTGACCTCTCTTCCTCTTCACAAAGAAAGCAAATCATTGGGTTCGGAAATGGTTCTTTTTGTTCAAGTATGAAAGGAAAACGAGCTGCACCTATTAGACGTACTACTGAAGAAATCAAACGAAAATGCAAACAACCTAAAGGGAGAGCTGAATTTGTTTACGTTGACGAGTATTTAACGAACCAGATCTGTAACAAGTGTAAAATGAAAGAAATGAATACATTCTATTCTCAAGTGTGAATCTTGTGATATGACACGGAATCACGATGTTTACAAATCAAAACATGATAATGAAAGCCCTCTCCCCTTCAAAAGACTCGCAAAAGACTAATGGTGGTCTTGGATTTAGTGCGCTGTCTATAACGGCAGAGCATTCCTTAACGCCTCAGTAAGTATAAAATGAATAATACGTTGTTTTTTATTCATTAATCTTCCAGTTAGCCTATTGTAAACAGGAATAGAATATGTAAATGTAAATAAATTGGTTTTTAGTTACATTGATACATACGAATGGAGCATTTTTCGAGTAGCCAAAACAGGCTACAACTTTATTCTATATTTATAACATATCTTTACCGAAATACCTATATAATAATACTATTTTTTTTTTTTGATTGGCTGTCCAATAACTTGTATACGTTCAGAGCTTTTTGATTGGCTGGTCAAAATCTTGAATTTTAAACGCAAATCACTGTAGTTGATTTCTTCTTCATAAATCATCTTTGCATCAATAAAATGAGCCCAAGAAATTTTGATTATTATTATTATTATTATTATTATTAATCCTGGACCAAAAGTCAAAAAAAGACATGTACGTGTCTCATCTAAAGAATGCATAGTCTGTAATAAAATAGGCCAGAGAGTTAAAACAGTCGCGCATATAACACAACAATAAATACAATATGGACATGATTATGACCAAGAACCCATTACAAAAAGACAACATTGCTACAAAAGAGTAGACCTTTATTGAATAGATGCTCTTTGCAGTTATTATAACTTCTTTAAAGTATACAAGAATTATTTTTGGTAGGCAAAACTTTCCCCAGAATTTCCCCAGATTTTTTGTAGGTCAGCAATTGGATATTCACACAGTCGAAGTTTTCTCTCTTCTTCTTCTTCTTTCTTTATTTTTTTTTTTTTTCATCCTTTGCATTATTACTAAAAATCATAAATGGCAACCAATGTAGACACTGCCTTCAATGTATCCAATAAATCAAAATGTAAATACATTTACAGAATGATTGAGACAATATATTAACTCTTATCCATAAATAGGTATTAGCTGTAAAATAGCAAGTATACCTTGTAATGGTATTTTTTATAGAGTGATATATGCAATAAAGATCAATAATACTAAGAATGTAATAAATTACTAGGAACTTCTCGACCTTGTGTTAATTGTATATCACTTGGGAAACCAGATACATGCGTTGACAGTTACTTGGCTAATACAACACAGACAGCCAAGAATACCAAAGCAAAAACTCAAAAAAAGGGACATAGACCACATGTCCCGAGTGCATGTAATAATTAAAGTATTGACTAGAGAACAAAAAAGAAGACTAACATTACGTATTTAGGTATAAACTGTAAAATAGCACACTTGGCTTGTGATGGTAATAATAATAATACAAATATCTCTCTTATTCACCTTTATATATACAGTTTCACGCCCTTGTAAGCGATGCGTCACCTTGAAAAAGGAAGATACATGTCAGGACATTATTCATAAAAAGAGAGGTAGACCAAAGCGACGAGAACAGAAGCCATATGCAAATAGTGAATACACGTATGAGATCATTTACGGCACAATTGAAACACCAGCAATTGTATCTCACAATAGAAAGGATGATAGCAGCACTACTATCACAGAAAAGCTTGAAATAAAGACAGCTAACCGTACAAAGCCAATAGCTTTTGTGCATGAGTCATTCCAAACCAGTTCACAATCTGACAATCATAATCTGACAGTGCATAGTTCAAATATTGCTAAACAATCAACCACTTTCAGTAGTAGCAGCAGCAGTAGCAATAGCACGGATAGCAACAACAGCGTATCACTCATAGAGCCAAATGTTGATCAACAAGCGCTTTCCATTCTTCAACCTATACAAACATCAGCTTTAACGTTGCCTCAGGAAGATCAACAACCATTTCTGATAGATCAATTTAATATATTTAATACCACTACAATTAATGATGAAACTAATAACGACATACAATCTCCACTGCAAAATAAGGAGGGAAGAGAGATTACCTTGATTTTATCAATGGAGGTATGCTGTGCAAAAGTACCTAATGGAATATATAACGCCTGGGGATACTACCCACAAGAACTTGCACATCGTTCATTATACGATTTTATTTCACCAAAGGACAATGATCGATTATCACAGCTTCATCGCTTACTACTGGATCATATCGCAAAAACAGCAAATCAAGGAAGTATTGTACCGTCAACAGAAAGGAGCACGTCTTTACTCTTTGAGTCTGTTGATGAAGCAAAATTAAAAGAAATTGCAAGTGGATCAAAGTTATATTCAGATACAATCCATGTGAGGATGAGATCAGGCGAATATAAACTCCATGAAGTAGTGCTATACATCGGCGGAGGACTAGGTGCTGATCTTTATAACCAAGCGACGCTTTCGAAACAGTATATAGTTGCAATATTTCGAGAACATCAGTATGAAGTATCTACCATAAATCAAAAGAATCCTTGTATTGAATCATTCGAAAACACTTTTCAAGCCATGTCAAACTACATAGAGCCTATCGCTGTCTTTTCCCCAATGTCATCTCCTATTACCCCACCAACACCAGCAGTGGATCATTTATTAAGCAGCCTATCAGCATCGGTAATAGATGACAAGTCGGCCGACTATTGGATTACTGATACCAGTCATAATGCTGGTAATAACATATTGACATACGCTTCACTTAATCAAAAGATATCTGCGCCCCATAAGCCTTCTCTAAAGCCGCCAAAATTTAATATTGCTCCTATTACAACAGCACCGGTCTCTTCGATATCAAAGTCATCCATCAGCCTTAATCCATTACTGAATCGATTTGCTTCGTCTCCTGCAGTGACTCATCCAACCCACCAGTACTTTTTACAAACATCAAGTAGTACACTGAATGCAGCAGCTTCAGCAGTCAAAAGTAGTAGATCTGTATACAGTATATCTGGGTCATCTAATAGAGATAGTAATACTATATCTTCTGGTAGAGCAATAGAAATGAGTATTCGATCTCTACTTTGTTAAATAAAAAATACACTTGATGCCATTTAATGAGCCACATCTTATTACGCGCTTAGACTCAAAAAGCCGCTGGGCTTTTCTTTATTAAATGGTTGTACGACTACACCCTACCGCATGCTTCTAATTTTGGCTGATCGTCTTGATTCAATTGGTCAGCCTATTTCTGCGTTTAATTTTATTTATAAGACCTTCACTAGTCTTGCTCCGCTTTTCCCCCTCTTTCTTCATCTCCCAACCCAAATGTCTGAAAACGTCATCGCCAGTGTTGAAACTTTAAGCAAGGCTACAAACATGTCTCCTGAAGAATATAGAGCAAGAAAAGTTGCTCTTATCACAGGTATAAAAAAGAGGGTTTATTTTATAAAGAAAAAGAGGGCTCATACAAAATGTATAGGTGTCACTGGTCAGGACGGTTCTTACTTGACTGAAATCTTGTTGGAAAAGGGGTACGAAGTGCATGGTATCATTCGTAGATCTTCTTCCTTCAATACAGGCCGTATTGAACATATATACAGAGACAGACACGAAACAGGTGAGATATAAGACTAGCTTTTTTTTTTGGTTCGAGACCTAACTCTCTTTTTTCAGGTGTCAAATTTTTCCTTCACTATGGTGACTTGACTGACTCCACATGCTTGGTTCATATTATATCTAAAGTATTGCCAACTGAAGTTTACAATCTTGCAGCTCAATCTCATGTCAAGGTCTCTTTTGACATGTCAGAATATACCGGTGACGTCGACGCTCTTGGCACACTTCGTTTACTTGATGCTATCCGTACCTGTGGTTTAACCGATCGTGTTCGCTTTTATCAAGCTTCTACCTCTGAACTCTATGGTAAAGTAGTTGAAACACCCCAAAAGGAAACAACACCCTTCTATCCCCGTTCCCCTTATGGTGTAGCCAAACTTTATGGCTATTGGATTACGGTCAACTACCGTGAATCATACAACATGTTTGCCTGTAATGGTATTCTCTTCAACCATGAATCACCTCGTCGTGGTCGTACTTTCGTTACCCGAAAGATTACTCGTGCTGTTGCGGACATCCACTTGGGACGTCAAGAGTGCCTTTATCTCGGTAATATTGATGCTAAGCGTGATTGGGGACATGCTCGTGATTATGTCGAAGGTATGTGGCTCATGCTGCAGCAAGATCAGCCTCAAGATTTCGTCTTGGCTACTGGTGAAACACACACAGTCAGAAGCTTTGTCGAAAAGGCTTTCAAGGTGACTGGACGTACTATTGTTTGGGAAGGTGAAGGTGTGAACGAAGTTGGTAAAGATGCTGAAACAGGCAAGGTCCGTGTGCGCATTGACCCCAAGTACTTCCGTCCTGCTGAAGTTGATCTCTTATTGGGTGATCCTACAAAGGCAAACACAGAACTGGGCTGGAAGCGCAAGGTTACTTTTGACGAATTGGTTACTGAAATGGTTGTTGCTGATATTGAAGGAAGTCTCAAGTCTTCAACTTTGGTGTAAAATAATAAAAAAAGAATATCTTGTTTTATAATATGTAGAAACACTGCGTATTTATTGCTAATCTTTAAGTGCATAATGTTTTAAAGTGTATAGCAGAACCTTGCCTTTCTTATTAGCAATGGCAAGATAATCACTATTTGGAGAGAAGGCAACACATTTTACTGTATTCAGGGGTGTTCCATCTGTGGGCCAGTTGGCGTATGCTGTGCCGGTTGGAACATGAATCACTCTAAGTTGTTCTTTCTTTGATTGACTCGAAATCACCATCAGTTGGGAATCATGATTAAATAATATATTGTTAACTCTAGTAGTTAATGATTCGATCACCTTGAAAGGCTTGGGGTTTATCGACTCTGGTTCCAGCACAGATCTATCATAAACATTGACAATACCAGTAGATGATCTACAGAGGGCTATTAGTTTTTTTCTTTTTTCTTTAAATATGATCTTACCCTGTAGCATAGTATCTCTCATCTGGACTGACACGAATAACGGAAGGTCCGATACAGCCTTCATCATTCCATCGCTTCATACATTCTTTATTTTGAACGTCAAACTGGTATACTTGTCCTTCACCACTAAAGCCAAAGAGATAATTTCCATCTGAGCTCCAAGAGACCGATTCTACTGTTTTATTCACCTTCAGATTGCAGTACCATTTCTTTGTTGAATAGCTCACGACAATAATGACACCACTGACACCCAAGAAAGCAATGTATCGTCCACAGGGGCTGATGGAAAACTCTTCTAGTGACTTTTCTTCCCTGCCCCAGATACCAGGACATCTGTCAATGATACCAGTTTGGATATTGTATATATAAAAGTAACTGCGTCTACCGCTGACAACAATTTCATCTCCAGAAGGATGGAATTCTGCATGATAGATTGGCATATCCTTAAATTTAACCGATTGAATCTTGGGGTTAATTTTGCCGTCTATTTGAAATAACCGTAACACTTTATCCAATCCACCCACTAACATAACTTGTGCATTAGGATGAAAAGAAATACATGTGATGCCTCTCTATAAATAAATATATAAGTAATGGCTCTCAAGTTTGGCTTTTCCAAGTTACCTGAGACAATGAAGCTCGGTTAGCATCTTTTAAACGCATGATATCTAATCTCTTGGGAGGAATAGCTTTCAAGTTAGATCGCTTATTTAAGATGCCCATTGTACTCTTTAATAAATCAATTCTTGTTTCCTCGTCTAACTGATCATCGGCTTCTGCCTCCTCTTCATCACTGCTATCATCTGCCTTGCGTTTTCTTGATTCCGATTTGGTTTCTGAAGGCAGTCGAGCCCAGTCGGGTTTAGGGTGTAATCGATTAAATCTAGAATGATTTGTTAGAAAGTTGATCTACTTGTAAAACAAATATAAAACAACGTTACTGTCTACGTAATCTTCGAGTGTATTCAGCGCCATCAATAACATCCTCATCAATGTCGTTTCTTAACTTCTTTGTCATATTTGCAGCTTTCAATGATATTTGTAATTTTTTATCATCATCATCTACCCATGCTGCTTTGGTAAGTGCATATCTATCTTCATCGCTGTCAGTATCTTCATCACTTTCTTCATCAGAAGTGTCTTCTTGTTGTGTTTGTTGTTCTGCTTCATAATCAACTTCATCGTCATTATTTCCAGTGAATGGTCCTGAATCGAAAAAGAATGTCTAATTATATATGAGATAAGAACCGTAGTCAAGTGATTACTATATGTTCTCTTACTGCTTCATTAATATCTTCTTCATCGTTAACTTCTGTATCATCGACTTCATCGTCTTCCTCCTGCTCTAATTCTTGTCCTGTCTTGGACCAAAGATCCTCTGTATTGTCACCAAATAGGAGATCTTCTAATTGTTGTTCGCTATCGTCTTTCTTTAATTTTTTATTAACATGAACCATTTTTTAAGATGCTGTAAGATTAGGAAAAAACCAAAAAGTTCAACTGAATCAGGCTTTAAAGGCACGAATGAAATGCAGTCACGTTAAGCCACATCAGCACTTCTCTTTCTCCTTTTGTTACTGAAATTGTCCTGTCTTTTACATAAAGAGCGCCACAGATATAGGAATATAAATTTAACTTGTTAAATACAGAATGCAACCATATGCTTATTAAACTAAAGAATGCTTTAATCGATAAGGAATATATATTGATGTTCTTGTACCTCCTTACACCTAAGGACCGCATCAGGATTGAAACTAAGCAAAATCTGTGTTATTATCCATGTTCTTAAAAGCGAGTTTAATAATTATACTAGAGAAGGAGTTAACGAACCTTGAGTCGATGTTGAAGAAGTTATTACAAAGTATTACTCTAGTTTGGACGTAAATAATAGCCATAATATAAAAATTTGGAGTCCTTTATCCAAACCGACGACATGGGCGTCATGTAGTGCACAAGTAAGGTCTATGCTCCGAGTTCCTGCTCTAATATGCTTACTTCTTTTCTTCGACCCTTGATATATTTGGTCTAACGATTTAAAAGAGAAAAACCATCATCTTTATATGAAAGTGATCCTGTACACAGACAAGCTTCACTCACTTTTTCTAGATAGTGCCATCTACTACAGGTTGTTGTTTTACACAAACGATGTGTTGTAATACACATCAGTAACATTCTAACTCATTTAAAAGTAATCACGTACTAAGAGATTTTTACCTTTTTTTAAAAACAGTTTTGAAGGTCCCTTCAAAATAAAAAAAAATACAAGCTTCTACGGTAAGCTTTTTCTTTACGTGATAAACGATGGGTAGTTGCTTTTCTACCTCACAGAAAACTAAAAGTGTACCAAGCAAGCATATCACTATAGGCCAAAAGGATCCATTTAGCAAAAAGATGACAGCAAACCAAGATAACGCGTCTATGGTTATTGACAACACTACAGCTATCAATACAAAGCGAGAGTTTCATAACGACGAATCATCCACTTATTGGCTGCCAAAGGACGATGACGAGCAAATGAGGCTTACAGAGGTAAAAGCAGATGCTGTAGTATACGAATAGATTGCTAAGTATTTTATATAGCAACACTATGCTTTCAAGAGTCTATATGGAGGGTAATACCTTTGTTGTATGCATTGGCTAAAGTTACTAATAAGTTTACTTCTCTTAAAGCAATGTACTGCCCAGTGTAACAAAAGCCTTGTATTTTGAAAAAAGGGATCACTGTTCTTGATGCAGGATGTGGTTCTGGTGTATGGATCATGGTAAGAAACAGTTTGAATTATGCAAGTTACTGTATACAATTAGTTTTGCTTCTCAATGATTTTCTGAATAGGATATGGTACAAGATTATCCTAGCTGCACCTATCATGGATGTGACATTGTCGACGCAATACACAAGAACGTGAATGTGAATCAGTTTACGTTCATTTTGGGAAACGTGGTGAAGGGGCTTCCATATGAAGACGATACTTTTGACTTTGTTCATATGAGATTCTTTATTCTTGCACTTCGTGAAGAAGAAGAATGGCCAGCCGCCATTAGCGAAATAATACGAGTGACTAAACCAGGAGGAATGATACAAATGTCAGAAATTGGATTCGAAGTATGCATTAATAGATCAATACATATTTCAGGCATTAACCCTTTATGCTTACAGCTGCCGAAAGACTCTTCTAACTTGTTTTACAAGGTTGGTGTGACCAGTAAGTTTCATCATCTGCATATCCAAATACCGCAAACAATTCCTCAACTCATTTAGTTAGAGATACATGTGCAGCAAGAGGACAGAATGCGTATATAGGAGCTGAGCTGAATAACATGCTCGCCAAACATAACAATATAGAGATTGTCCAATCTGCGGACAGAATTTGTGACATGAGTAAGTAAATAAAATAATGTAGGTAGTAATACATTTAGATAAAATATAGGTTCAGGCACATCTGCAGCAAAGACACTTACTTGGGATGCTTTAGAATCAGTAAAGAGCATGAAGCCTGTTATGGGTCCATTGATGAGGATAAATACCACTGAAGAATTGGATCAGTTCTTGAAAGAATTAAAACATTGCATAGAAACAAAAGAGAGTTTGTTTAGGTTTAACTCGGTTGCTGCCCAAAAGCTTTAAATTAGAAATCAAATATTGGTTGTTGGTTTAACGAAATAAAAGAGCAGCTAAAAAAGCATATGTTACTCTTGACATTCACGTTATCTGGAGCAACAAGAGGAGCGCTTTTCAACAAAGATTGTTACTGTTAGCCATCACAAATGTATTGCAAGTTTCTCAGAAATAACATTGTTGAATACGAAGTATCAATTAAAAAGAATAAAGACTAGAGTTAACCAGACTTAAAGACATATGCCGATTGACTTTATTAAGGACAAGTATTTATACTAAATGTGGGACATTCTTCAACTGAGATCATAAAGCTTTCCTAGAGGCTTATGAATGACAATTTGGGACAAAGAGAGGGAGTTAGGACAAATTGGGTGCATTTGATAAGACAATGATTCCTAATAACAATGATGGATCAGAGCCATTGGATATGCGTACCTTAAAATGCAGTTCCTGGTAATTAGCTTAAATAATGATCCGCACAGCTGTTTCAAAGTAACAAGCTGAAGTCGAATAATTGCCAGTTATTGTTTCATATGTGGTTAATAGTTGATCCACTAAGTATGAATACAACAAACATAAATCTTTTCCTTTAGCTGTACCATGGATAACCACTTTTCTGTATATAAAGCAAAAAGAAATTCAAGGAAACATACCAACCTTTTAGACATATTTATTGAAAACTTGTATTAGTATATAGTCATCTCCACAAGTTCTTCTTTTTTGGGTTTGTCCAAACAATATTTCCTGTTCATTCTGTTATATTTTCTTCAGTATTCCTAGATTTGTAGATGAATACAGTTTTATTCCGTATACTTCATTAGTAGCCGTCTTGAGGCACATAAATAAGTATTTGTTCGAATTTTTACAAGTGATCAAATTTAAATCGACTTGTTAAGGCAGGAACCACACTTAGAAAATACACGAAACGATAAAAGCATGCACTTATTGATATAAGATTGCTGTTTTAAATATGAACTCATGCATAATATTGACGTCCCTGAGCATCCCCTAATTAAGAGCTCGATAATTCAAGCTGATTATTTTAATATATTACATTCCTAACTTTTCTCTAAATACTCACCCATCTTTATCTAATAAAACTTCAGTCAATTATCACTGTATAACTTCTATCCTTAGACCTTCCCAGTCTATTTTTATCCTCTCTTATCTGCTTCTTGTCTCGTTCTTATCTCTTTGTACCATCCAGCATCTTAGTTCCTATCTGGTCCTATTCCTCTCCTCCCTCCTCCGCTGAACAATACAACTCATTACAAAAAGATATAGACTATTTTTATGATAGAAGAGTGAAAGTTCTATTTGTAATAGAAACCAACAGTAGAATCAGTTGTAGCTGGCTTATGCTCTTGCAAGTAATACACTCACTGTTGACTAAATCCAAATTTAAGGGCCTTTGTTATATTATCAATATAAAACCATTTCCTTTGGTAAAAACTACTTCCTATCATAGTTTCTGTGGATCTATCATTTGGTAAAGGTTCCAAGTGTTGTATATTCACAACTTTCTTTCTTTTTCTTTTACAAAACATCTCAATACTTGCAACTCTTTGACGTTTACTAAGCTCAGGCAACCAAATTATCAAAGACTTGGCTTGTCAAGGAGATGATAATAGAAATGAAGCAAAACATGAAGAAGTCATTGTTAAAATAGCAAAATAACTAAAGTAATCGATGTTTACAACATATTACCTCACTTTTACAAATAGCCTTATTACAAAGTATCCCAAAGATTACTGTAAAATATGCAACTTCTATATCAGAAAACGAATTATTCAATACCTACAATAACTCTATCTTCTCGTTTACCACTTCTGATCTAAAGAAATGTAATATTACAACGGTCAAGCAAAACGACACGATACATCAATGCACGATTTGATTCGTGTAATGATACTTGGCAAAGTTACTCTATACAATAGCTATCTATTAAATACTTTGCATTTCAAATTCATGGATTTTCGAACGTTCTTATTTGATGTCTGAAGTTCATTTATAAAATTGCAAGAATGAGCCTCCATGTTCTGCAATGTAAATTGCTGTAATTAGCAAAATAAATAGAATAATAAGCATGCAATAATGTTTAATACACTGTCAGGTTGAAATGAGCTTATAGGCCGGCGATGAGTTGCATCATAGAGTTTAGACGTCGTTTTATAATTCTAAAACCGCATATTATACAGAATCTTTGCTTAATGGTCGTAATGATCCAAATTTGACAAAGATTTAATATTCAAATAAACAAAATGTATAAAACCTTGAGCACTTACAAAACAAACCTTTATTAAAAGTAGTTTGCGGCGGCGTTTCAATATAAGTCATGTGCTTCCATATTCACCATTCTTTACAAACTATTCTTGTTGTGAGATCACTTCAATACTATACTTACCACTGTCAAATTACTCTTAATATATGTATTTCTGTTAGTTTAATTTACCACATAGGAAATTGTAAATTTTTAGCTATCTATTTTTTACTATTTTTAATTTTTTTCGTTAAAAAATGAGTTACATGAGTTCTATCGACGTTTTTTCCATTTCCTCTATTATTAGTGCAGACATAATGAGCGTATAAATATTTTTTAAGCTTTGGCACGAAGAAAAAAGGTAAACTAAACATTATAAACGCAAAATAAGAAAAAAATAAAAATTGATTTTCAAACAAAAGGGCTTCAAAAACAAAAAAATCTGTGTAACAGCCTGCTTGGCTCAGTTGGCAGAGCGTTGCTCTCGTAAAGCAAAGGTCGGGTGTTCGATTCACCCAGTAGGCATTTTGCTCCCTTTTCCTTGATGTTACACGAAATTCCCTTTTTTGGTAATTTAAGCCACGTCCATTGTGAAAATTCTTCAGATATGCTCCACATTGTAAGTTCCTGTCCCATTGAATCCATCATATTTGCACCAAGAAATATATTAAAAATCGTAATTTCCATGTATTGTGAGTAACAAGTCAATTCTCTTGTGGATTATTCTTAAAGCTGAAAATTAACTTCGTAATAGACATAATTGCTTTAAAGATTTCTTTTTTTTTGAAACAAAGCTAGCCGATTCCAACTCTACAAAGCAACTGTATTAAGAGGAGTTACCATACATGAAGTAAGTGGCTGAGGGTTATAATGGATCTTATTGAGCTGTCAATAAGTGAGTTTAGCATGTAATATAAATTTTCAAAGCAATGGAAGCTGATAGCTAAAGTAAGAGAGAACTTTGCAAATCTAATAAGGACTTATGTAAAAGCTTTAGTGGTTTATATAAATTACTTATGTAGCCTGATTAATTAAACATAAATGAGTATTTAAAAGACGATTACAAAAAAAGAAATTAAAAAAGAAAAAAAAAGAGTCCAAAAAGTGGCTTTGTGCTCTTTGTAGCTATGCTTAAAAACTACTCAGAAAATAAAAAGCTGAGGTTGTGTGCTTAGATGTCTTTTATCTACGGAAAAATTTAGAATAAAGCCAAAGTATTTATCAAAATGAAAGTATAATCACAATGGTTGATTTCCTTTTTTGAGTTTATAGGAGTAGCACAGTTGCTCTAAAGCACATCTCCATAATCGTCCTTTCAGCTGTGCTTCTTAGTAATATATCTGCTATAATGCAAAAGGTAATGTTTCTATTTAGTCAGTCTGTAAAAAGAAGGTCGAAAACCTGATGCGTGTCCACCCTTGGTATCGACGATGATTATGATTGTATTTCATGGTTATCCCGCTAGCATAGAAAAATGTGAAGGAGATATATTTTATTGTTTTACGATTCTAAAAGAAAAATAAAGCGTGGCTCAGAGAGTATGTATCATATTTTCGGCCTTCTTTTCACCAATTGACTGATTTATTTAAGTACGATTGTAGTTAACCAGAAAAGCAGTTATTAGATGACTGTTTCTCATGTTTGTATTCATATCAACCGGGCCAAGTGATAGTTACATCAAAATCTCGTGTTCCAAGTGAGGGGTAGCCCATACAGGTTCTAACCCATATCACACTTTTCTGTGACTCTTTCTCTCAGCATATTATAGTAAAGCTTCGTCCATGTTTGTTTGCCATATTCGCTACAGCTATGTTCATATCCAGAGCAGACCTCAGAATTAGCACCTAACGAAGCTTCAAGACCAAAAACACTACCACCAAGAGATCATTCGGTTTCTTGACAAAACTGCTTGGTATAAGCACAGCTGCCTTTCCAAGTCTGGAACAAGCATTGATATTGGCTGTAGCCCGCCAAACCACTTTATACTATAGATTATAGTCACCTTGACTTCACAGTTTTGAGCACCAAACATTGTAACTTTGTCTTCTTCAACCAATCTCTCCAAAACTTGTTTCTCGTTTAACTTTGGAGAGAAGTAAAAGGTCTTTTCATCTTTATCAAGCAAATATTGAGAAATTATTAAATTTCCATCTCACTTAATAACAATTTCATCAGCATCAAGCTTAGATGTCCAGGTTGTTTGAAACAACATACAGTTGACCAAGAATAAAGCTAGGACTATTAAATTATTATGCAAGATCACAGGCATTACAAAGTGTCCTTTAATGAATGCAATCTTCTATTGTGGACTTCAGGAAGAGAGAGGACTACCATTGAGCAAATTTATAATTATAAAGTTTACATAAATTTCACCAGTGGTTACACTTTGTTCTTGTTGCAAATGTAGTTATTCAGAGCGAGAATAAACGAGACGGATAGGAAGTACCGTTTATTTTACTGTTAAACAGATTTAAATGAACACTAACTCAAGTACTCAGAAGGGGAGGGATAGCAGCTTAAGGCATTCGGTTTGCTGCTGCATAGTAGTGCTATTTTGGTTTTACTTGTTGCCATCTACTGCTTCCCCCTTATGACCACTTGCTCAATCTTGTGATTCTTTGAGATTTTACAATATTCCTTGGCTTCTGTTGTATAAGCATATGATATATCAATATTCACGTCTAAATCCCCATAATGGGATGCATCATTGTCTTCTTTGACTTTTGCTAATTTTTTCAGGCCATGTAGATTTGTAGATTTGTAAATTCGCTTTTTCAGCTTATAACTTAATCAAGCCCCCTGTGAACGTTTCAAATGAAGCAATACCTTGATCTTTCCTGTCAATGAATGGGTCTATAAATTCCTCGTAAAGCCTTCTCAGTGGGTGGATTTGGGATTAAATAATCATTTAATAAAGCATGAGGATGTAAAATGATCTGAGATCATTGGGGACGATTTGTAGATAGCTTGCATATACATATCTAGTCATTTTAAATAAAGAAATATGGAAGCTACTTATTATTTTTTTTATTATTAATCCAGCAGTGACATATTTTTGGGAGCTACTCACTTATTTCATGCCGATTTAATCAATTGTGACAGAAGGCACCATGAGAAATCAGAGGATTTCAGGGTCTTCTTGGAAGCAGGTTCTCAAAGCTGAATTTGAATGTTTTCTGTATCCCAAAAAAGAGAAGCTCTGATATACCTATTTTAACAAGCTTTGCATGGAAACTTATGTTATTTTACCATGCCTACATTATATACACTCTCATATAATCTATTTATAACGCACATTAACTATACTCACCTTGCTTTGCTTGTCCAACAGTTACACTGATCTTAGCGCTAAAACACTCTTGTACCTGACCTGGTGTTTATTTGTGTAGCAGTAAAACAAACTATGTGCTCTATCTGTCTCGTTTTTACTTATTCTGCATAACTACATTTGCAACAAGAACAAAGTGTACCCACTGGTGAAACTTATGTAAACTTTGTAATTATAAAACCTGGTTTTCCTCGTTTCAAAGGACTGCAGTCTTTAAACTGTTTTGCTACTACAGTAGTTCTCCTTCATGCTCAACAGAATGCAAGGAGCTAGTCGCATGCCATGGATTTAATAACACTTCATTTAAATTACAAGATAACACTTACAATCTACAAGTTTATGAACAACCACCATGCAAGGGTAACTTCTCGGCGCATGTTATAAACAATACATGTTTTACAATTGACGATGTTAGCTTTAAGGAAGTGCACAATAATTATGGGGCCAAGCTGGAAGTCAATCTATTACTTGTGATCTTAACATTGATTGTTTGAATTTTCATAGCCAGGCGTTAATCATTTAGTTTGAAATAAAAAAGGGATCATAATGGCGCTGATATTTCAAGTAATGCCGTCTTCAGTGAGCATGGGGCACGCTGTGACTCCCTGTCAGGTTGAGGCGTGGTTAAGAAAGCTTTTCTTTCTAAAGTGTTCAGCCGATAGTTGCAGTTTACAATTTGGAGATGTCAATCACGAAAGGCGAATTGAACAAGTTGCTCGAAAGATGATATGTTGCATTTTGAAACTATGTTTAGCTGTCACAGTATGATTAATTGTAGTCAATAAAACAAAATTATAGAAAGAAATAATGTCGTTGCATGCTTTAAGGCCTTAACTTATCGACTTGTCCACTTAGATAGCTTCTTGTTTTGTTTTGCTGTAACCCAATTGCTTTCTTAGATAGTTGAACCATCTCCATGGTAACGTCCATTCGTACAGAAAAACTTTCTTCCGGCTGAGACGATCTGCCATTGTATTCTGAACCCACTGTTTGAATTTTTACCGCCAGTTACTGAAGGGTCTCTGATGATATTCCTCCTGCTTTGTCCATATATTTCAATGATGTTGTATTGTCCAAGTATGCCTGTAATCTCGAGTTCTTTTACTGTGATAGATGAACTTGTAGTGCAAATAGGATGGTTTTAACTGGTAAACATTTACGCTGCATTCTTTTCTCTTCTACGGTCCAAATCCTGCTGTTTGGGCTGAAGCTGAGCTTACTCCCCGTCTTGGTGTCGATAGCGTCCATGTAAATAGTTAGGTATGGTGTTGGTAATTTGCGCCGGATTAGAAGACTGTTTTTTAATGAAGCCTCTATTAGCTCCTGTAGACTTTTTAGGCTTACTGAGTATGATACATTCCGGTTGCTGTCGCGTATCATGAGGGCTCCTGCTAGGTGCCTCTGTAGAAATCTCACATGGAGTAGCATTCCCCAATCACTGGCAACATGATAGTAAAATTCCCTATAAATCTTGCTATTCATCGATATGATTTCTGTTTCTTGCTGTTCAGCAGGTATCGAATCCTTATATTTAATTTCTGAATTTTTACCTGTGTACAATTTTTCCTTTTAAGTTCTCTATGGGACTCTTTGTTGAAGACCTCACTGTTGATTCATTCATTAACTTTGTACTTTGGAAGGTTCTTAGCAAATTCTTTCATGTGCCTCTGTAAATTGATGGTCGAGCTGTTTTCCAGTTCTTCCGAGGTTTCATTTGGAAAGTTTATGGCTCTTCATTTGATTTGTCAGAAGATTGAGCTTTCTTGACATTTACTCAGTAATTTGCTCGACTTGCTCCCTTGTAAATAATTGTTCAGATGGACCATTGGGCATACACTGCCACAGTGCGCGGCATGAAAAAGATCTTAAAAAATAGTATCAAGGCAACATCTTTTATTATATATTATCTGAAAATAAAGCGGTGCGTGCAAGAATCTCTTACCCCTTCACCTTCACCTTCGACCTTGACAACTGTTTGATCTTCGAATACGCAAAAATTCTCAAAGTGCGCAAAATTCAAACTTCACATGCGCAAAGTACAAGTTAAAAATCCAATATTGATCAACTAAAGCGATTTTTCTTCCGTATAAAATTACTTTATTAAAAGTAAACGTACACAATAAAAGGTATCTGTTTAGCAAAGTATATGCATTCAAGTATCTACAGGATTTTATGGGCCTACATTTTATCCGTTATTGACATGGAGTAATACTAAAAATAGCTGCAAGCTCCTGTTTTCTAAAGTAAGAAATCACTTCAATCCTCGGCTCATTGGTAGCCTTTAATGATATTAATAATAATAAATGTTTCAATTTCGAGGATTAAAGCGAATAGTAATATCAAATAGAATTGTCGTAAGTAGCAAAGAGTATGTTCTTGTCAATGTGTATAGTAGTTGATGCTTATTAATTTAAAGGAGAATATCATAGAGTATACTATGTTAAGCCGAATAATCAAATATTTCAAATAGAGCATCCGAAATCAAGGATTATATCAAGATAGGCATATGAATCTAGCTTATTTCGGCGCATAGTGCCGCTAGCGATCTATCAGGCTACTGTGGGCTTAAGAAAGAAGAAGTGGACCATACTATGATTATTGGTCTACTTTGACATGGTAAGAAGCCAACAGTTACTATTTATTACAATGTGGAAAGAAGAGAAGTCAACTAAAAGGAGGAGGTATATTAGATATATAAAAGATATGTGTGTCCGAATAAATAAAGGCGTTGATATAGTTTTTTTTGCTCACAAGTGTTTATTATTGTCATCTTTTGCCAGCAATAATCTATCAATGAATTTAATGTAAAAGTATTGGTAAACTGCATAATTAAGCGTTTGAAAAAGAAATTACAATACATGAAATGCTAGTTGATTTTCAGTTGTGAAAAGAGTGCAATAAAACGCTGTCTAGTTCATTATGTGCAAAGCTATCTGTAAACTTATTTGGCCGCATCTCAAATCAACCTGTTTAGCTTATTCTGGTTTAAAATTCTTCACATTGGGATCATATACCGTACAGTCCGATATGCCCAGTCGTCAAATATTTTGACTTTACAAATAGAGGCTCCTCCAAGATGGCCCAAGAATGTTTAATGGGTTTTGGAAAAGAAAGCTAAAAAGACAGGTTTACCGTTAAACGCAACCGACAGTCACTAACATTTTGAAGTCTCCATACAGATCTAGGAGTAGTAATAATTCTGCTTCCATCCACTGTGTAGGCTAATTCCCGAGGTTCTCTAAATAGCCAACAAATGATTAGAAACCGAACCAATCTTGGTAATTTCCTTTCGTAAAACGTAACATTGGCTTCCCATAGCCTTGAAAGTAACCAAAGAATCGCCTCTAACCACGAAGCCCAACAAAAAGTGGGATTTAACCGCTTGAAAATTATAAATACACGGCCAACAAAAAATGTAGCTCTGACAGCTTTATGACATCATGTATGCGCAACACACAATGTAGAAGTATATGAAGTTCGCGTCGGAAATCACATCAAGAGCCATAATATTCAAGATTTTCACTTCCTATATATGGTATCCCGTACGTCAGTTCCGTAATAGGTAGTATAAGAAAGCTTTATACAATTAATGGGTTTTGTGTTATTTAACTCAATATTGACTATTTTTTTAGACGGATGTTCTCCAGTACAAGGCTGTAATAAGAGGCATCCTTGCTGTTATAGAGATGATCATGTGTTTTCTTTTGGCTTCTTGGAAAGCCTATTTAGAGCAGCTTAAAGTATATCCTATGTGTGTATTTGTTCTAATAGAATAGTTGATTTCAAACTTTTAATAGACACTGCTTTCATACAACCCATATAAATATCGATAATAGCGAGTTTACTCTTTTTGTATCCATTTTTGAAGACTATGTGTAGCTGTTACAGCCAAGGTTGATAACTCTAAGATTGGTTTCAAGTCAGGGCAGAGTCAATAGAAATGAAGCAGTAACTAAAGAGAGTAGAGAAATATGAAGATGAGAAATATCAGTATAAGGTCACATTAAGTTGTATGGGATCAAAAAACATGAGATCTTTATTTTAAGCATATACTCTTGTCTAAAATGCCCATAACTTCAACATCACCTGAGACTTTTTCTCCCCCTTTAACCAATATTTTGAAGTCTCGGAACGATCTTTGTAAGGATTGCATAAAAATCATATGCCACTAAGAAAAGGTCGGCAGCTTAAAAATAAAGGAAGAGAAAGAAATATCTGATCCATCCAATGCGTTTAAATCGCTTATGGCGTGAGTTACTCAAGGAGAGATCAAAAGACGGATATTGCGTAAGCGCTAAAATAAATTAGCCGAATATTGGTATTGACCAACTTATCCGGTAATAAGAAACCAATCCTTTTTAATGCGTAACGGCATTTATTTGATCCCGACACTACGCATATATACACGGACTATTCCTACCTTTCTTTCTTTTTTTTTCTTGTAATCATTTATGAAAGTCAAGTCTAATATACACAAAACTACTACTACTACTGATCAACAGCAGCACACATTTATACCTTATTCTGTACATCAAAGGCAGAATGGTCAACAAGAAGAAAATAAAATCAATTCAGCTTACAGCGCAAGCTACAGTCAAGCATGTCTAATACTTCAAGCTATTCAAATGAATGGAAGGCGTAGGCTTAGCCCACAATGCGTTTGTAAGTTAAACATTTAGCCGATATCTCGATCACTCCATTCTAACCTAAAACTAGTACAACTTGCCACTTTTGTAACAAGAGCTTGGGAAGCAGATACTGAACAGGACACTATTGAAGGGATTTGCAAATTAATGAATAACTTACTCGATATGACACTACTTTGTCCTGAAATGAATCTTAATGAAGCACTGATACAGTTTTGCAAAAATACGACATCTACTCAGTCTGTATCTCCTAGCATTACTTTACTACTAGCCGTCGATTACATAAGCAGACTTAAACAGGTGCTTTTTATTATAGTAAAAGAGAAATGTAAAGCTAATTCTTTCCTTAGAAATATGGAAATATCAAAGGAACTAAAGGTTGCGGACAACGACTTATTCTAGTAGCATATATGATGGCATCGAAATATATGCACGTCAACTTGAAATCCATCATTAATGTATCCAACTCAACCACAGCAAAGACAACTACCAGTAATGACAATAGGAGCAGTAGCTGTAGCGATGGTGAATCATTCTCACCTACACTTCCGTTCTTAAATACAGTAAAAGATACCCTCACTTTCCCACATTTAAAAGAACAGATATTACCTTCACCTCCCACATCACCAAAAGCTCACTCAGACAGCGATCCAATGAATTATCATTATTTTTCACCCAAAAAGGTACCAGCAACTACACCGTCTAATCAATCGGCCTCTATACTAAGAATGGAACTGGAATTTCTCCATTTCCTAAATTATAACCTTTCTTTGAACGAAACAATGAAGTTGATCTACTGGGCACAAACATTTGACGATGAGCTTGACAGACGAGGCTACAGTTCTGGATATGAAGGTGATACTGATTAATTCTGCTTATATATACATATATACATATCTTTATATAAATACTAGTTAAATATCTAAATCCTCCCGAGAGAGAGGAAACTGTATTTGATACCATGTTTTAAAATAATAAAGTCTTTCTACAAAAGAATGCTACTTGCCATGTTGTAAATATTCTTTGACTGATGCATACATTTTACAAATGAAGTTGGTAAAAATAAAAGACTTCTAATCATATTGCTTTTATCTAGGATGTTAAATACTCATCCAGATATATAACGGCAAACTCTTTTGGTCTTTCTTTGACCATCAACATTTCGTGTAGGATCCATTGAAGCCAGAACGGTATTCTTTTATCCCTGTTGCTATATTTTCTCATCACTCCTGATCCTGGGATTTTCTTTCTATCGTAATAGAACGTGGGTAAAAACAAGTCTTGTATTTCATATCACTATTTATCTGCTTTTTGATTGACTTGATCCATGTTTCGTATTTTTTTTTGATCCATTGTATTCTTTTTTCCAATATTAATTAGTATATTTGCTACTTTTTGTTTTGCACTTTGGACCCTTTCATAGTACAAAAAAAATATTGTTTTTGAAAGACATAATGTTGTCGTGTGGGAAGTGTAGGCCATATAATGTAAAAACATGATATTTCGACTAGTTTTTGCTAACAAAGCCTGCAATCATTCTTTTGTTACTGTGTTCAACTTTATATTTTTTAAAAGTCAAACATGTTATCGACTAACAAAGTGGATTCTTTACTGAATATTACTAAAGTAAGATTAGAACAGAATAGAAAGTAGGATGTGTATGCTCTAGAATAGAATTTTATTATGATTTACAGTGCCTCCGGTTCCAAATAGCGCTTCTCAGAACTCAACATTTCTTGGCAATGTTTTAATAAGCTTAAAAGAAAATGAATCCCAAATGTATATAATTACAGTAGCTGTTGCAGGCCCCCATTAGTAAATAGTCCTTGTGGCTCTGCCAGGTTGCGGAAATACCCAAATTCTAATGCTCTGTACGTTTGGGTTTGGACATTTTTTTCTAGCCTAGCTTCTGCATATATTATGTCAAGATTCACCGCTTCTCCTGTTACTTTTTTCTGTTTGGGAACACATTCTTGAATGCAATAGTGTACTTGTTCATCAGTTTTTTTTTTTTTTGTCTGTATTTCATTATCAAACTGCTGTATAAAGTTTTGGCGTACACTACGCGCACGAGAGGATTAATATTACAAGCACTACCTGTAATGTTGTCAACAAACCTTTTCAATGTATGGCACCAAGCTAAACTTGCTCAGAGAACAGACACCTTTCCATGTATCTTGATGTGGAATATGACTTTTATAAAGTTTCAAAAAGAAAAAGGTAAAGTACTATATTATATTTTATACTGTCAGCTCTATCAACGAAGAGCCAAGGTCATTCAAGAGTAATTGTATATCAAAGGATATCCTACTGCACAGCCTTAGGTTAGGTAGACACTTTGGTAGTGTGAAGTTGTATAGTGACGTTACATGAAGTCCCCTAAGGAAGCGCCCGTAGCATTAGCCTTCTCATGAATTTCCTCGTGCGCGTAGTGTTCGCCGTCATTTGGGATGTTCAAAAGCGCAAGGTAATTTCGAAAAGCGCTATTTGGAACGGGAGGTACTGCATGCAATACCGATGCTCGATCCGGAGAAATTCGATGCAGCATCATGTGACCTTTTTTTCTAATCCTCTCCCCAAGTTTTTCTCTCTCTTTTCTCTACTGTGAGAAAAAAAAAAAGTTATCTTCCAATTACTAACATCATAGTAAACTATTATTCATTTTCATTTTCTTTGGGAAGCAGCAATCTAAATGTTTCCCTAGTTCTTTTCTATATTTTCAAAAGCGTATATTTGGTCTTATACATAAAATATATCTATAACAAGAATTAAATGACGTACTCTTTAAAATTGCCAAGTTGTTCAAAAAGACTAAATGAAATTATGCTTAAATTATTAGTAATGTGCAGGAGACGTGCCTTTCCTATGGCCACAAACGAGTTGATTAGCATAAAGTTACGTGCATTAATCCTGACATACTGTTGTATAATGTGTGATAATAAGTAAGCCAAAAAAAGAGAGATATTCTTAACAACAATAGAGCATTCCTCATTATATAAAGAGTTGTTCCAGTTTACAATAAAGATGCATGTAATGATCGCTGATAGTGAGTGGCATAATAAGACGCATACTGTTTCTCCTCATTTATTTTGTTATGCATGAACAAACAACAATACACACAATTAAGAGAGAGCTCTAGAAAATTCCTTACGTTAGCTACAATGTACAAGATAGCATGACCTAGGACAAAGAGACGATCGTCATGGCTAATGCGTCTGTTTTTTTTTTTTTTTTTTTT